GCAAAAGACTACCATAATTTTGCAAAACCTCAAGAACACAAACGGTACGAAAGTGCAAAGCTTACATGTTCAAACTGTTTATTGATTGTCTGAGCAATGCTTTGCAATTAAATATTAACTATTCGGCGAAACTGCTAACTTGGCACACTTTTTCAAAATACAAAGCGCGTGTTGGTGCAGAAAGTACTCATTAAAATGATTAAAAATGAATGAGATGTTGAACGTGCCAAACTAGACTTGCATTGAACTGTTCAAGAAAATCGGATTTTTATGATTAAGTTGGCAAACACTTTTGTCGGTGCAAGTTTGCAGCTGAACAACTTGAAACAAGTTTTATCCAAAATCTCAACCACTCGATTCCGATAAGCGGTACACGTAAAACCAAAAACGTTCAATTCCTTAGTAAAAAAAATTCAGAGCAAACCACTGAGATGGCTCAACTTTCAGACACATTTTATTCTTAATAATAATCATGTTTTGAAACTAACGAGAGCTCTGGACACGAATTAAAATATCCATACGACCAATGGTGTTCAAAATTGATTTAAGAAAAAAAAATCTGGAAAAAAAATATTGAAAAAATTGTATAACTAAAAATCAATTAATTGAATTGAATTAACAATGTAACTTGAACACAACTGCATACTACCTTTTCAAGAATCAAGAAATAGTATCATATTGCTTTCAATCTGCAAATTAATATGATTTCGCACATTTCCCTTTTATCTTTCCAGAGATTTCTGCAAACCCAGATTTATTTAAGGTGAATAAAATGAAACCCCAAATAAAAACAAAGTTAACAGTTTTATATGAAACCAAATCAAAGACGCGTAATTTATATTTCACAAAATAATCATATTTGCTTTCAAGTACTCAGAAATTAAGGAACGAAATGAGCAAAGGTTGCCGTCCAGGCATTTAGCTTAGAAAAACAATTTTTACAAGCTTATTTTTTGCAGTTAAATCTTTAATCTAAGAGTGGCCTCATATGCGTCCAAAGAGAGCCTAGATGGTCTACGACAACATGTAAAATTCATTTAGCATAATGGTACCAGTCGAGACAAAAATCAACGTGAGCTGAGGCGTTTAAGTCATGCGGTGATTCTGAAGCGAGAGTGAAACCTCTAAATCAACAATTATCAAAAATATGACCAATGTCTCAGTTGAACCATTTATCTTAAACAGAAGACTTCTAGAAGACTTGCTTGGGCTGCCCGATGGTACGCCCAGCTTAAAGAGATACAGCAAGACGAAAATGATCGTCAAATAGAGTACCTACGACCCCCAACATTAAACTAGACCATTAAACACAATTAAATCCATTTATGTACTTAAATTGCTAGACTTGCTGGGTAAGTTTGGTCAGACTCGTAAACTGCAAGACGTACCTACCATATGTACTTAGGAACGTCCAAGACAAAGCGCAGGACGTACTTTCTTGCCTCGACCCATTGGAATTTTCTGATACAAAATAATTGTAAGACCAACAACCTGATTTCGAAATTTCACATTGATCCTTTTGGCAGTAAAAATGTAGTTTTTGGGTCAATTGAGAGAACTCGAAAGGAAACACCTCAAAATAAAATGAACACCATCGAAATTTCGAACCAAGACAAGAAAGCTCTATTTTTAGTTAAGTGCCTGCTATTGGAATGTGTCGATTAAACACATTCAAGACATTTAGTTCAACTTCGGTAAGTTTTATTTCAGAACACAGAACTAATGAATGACAAATTGACAAAAGATCTCAATTCAATCCATTAAGCGTTCAAGTAGGCTAAATTCTGACGAATGGTGGTACATTTATCATCGTTAAATGGTGCGCCAAAAAGCCGTAAGTGAAGTTGAAAGCATTTAATAACCATATCAAACGAAAACTGCAACACTGCGAGTCCTGGTGTTTTCAGAACCTTTGATGTTGAAATTTTGGAAACAACCAGAAAAGAAAAACTTCAGCACATTTATGTCAAAATTAACTTGTTCCTGCTTTTTGTTTTCTTAAGAATTTTTCACCCCTGGTCGATAAACATCACGTGTATCCTTATGCGCATTTGTTTCGCAAGTGTGAATCAGTCGGTATCAATAAAACGAAACAGGCAGTATTATGACAAGGCCATGTGATTCGTTTTATTACTACACCGCGACAATCCTTCGGGATTCCGAATTTCGGTCTGAAAACAAACATACCACAGAAGGCTTCAGCACTTTCACAATTTCTATATATGCGGTATTTAGATTAATTACATTAAGTTTTGCAAATCAATTGTCATCATTTTACTCTAAGCCTGAAACGCACGTTTATGCATGTCTCAAGTCTTCCCCCACCAAATTTCAACTTTTAGTCAGAGAAAGCTTCGGCTTTCTGGTCATTTGACTTTTTTTTTTACTTTTCTCCGGAATGTGTTTCACAGCCAGCGGTACAGCTGTGCGATTTGTGACCGAATATGGAGAAATGTGGAAAATCAGAAATGTCAATGAATCCGGAAGAAAGATGGACTGTGTTTAAGTTGTGACATTGAAAGTGCCTCTTGTAAAATGTATTTTAGGTTCGTTGTATCATGGCGGAAGGGGGTAAGAGTACTTACTTAAGGGGTAGGGTAGAGTAGTGGGTTTCTGGTGTATATTAGTTCGGACAATATTCTCAAAATGGAATACAATCTAGCTAATATAAACTAAGCATTAAATACCGTTATAGAAAAAGCAGTATTCATGAACAAAACATTTATTTGCAAAGTCAAGAGAAATGCCATCTTTTGATCAACTTTGAGATTTAACCCCACAATAAAACTTAATCTCGTTAGAAATCACCCTGGATCTTGGAGATCTGTATGGCTAGCACCTTTGAAAAGAAAATTAAGTCAAACAACCTGTGTCCGCTTTCATTCAGTCTTCATAGCAACATCAATCACTGATTTCTTCTTTAACTTCATCATCTAAACACTTTCGTTCGCTTTTAGAACTCGACCAGATTTGAAATCTAGATTAAGAGGTCAGTACTGGCAATCAAAATACTTATACATATGGTTTGTGTACTTTATACGGAATGGCATGTACTACAAAGAGTGAAACAGAAATGAAAGCGACACGGGTTATTGACTCTGAATGTTTGATTATACACTAGCCAGCCGTTTTGCTCCCCTTTTTGGTACTTCACAATCTGGACCATCTTTAATTTTAGACCAGCCAGTTCAAAACTATTGAAGATGAGATCAATGCTCAAAAGTCCTTTAATAGTTGATGTGTTCGGTCACACGGTGCGACTTGAAAAAAAGCTCTTGAAAGCTTTGTTTTTGTTTATTTTTAATTGTTTACCTTTCAAAATGAAAACAAGGAATAGCAGATGAGGACAAAATGGAATACCCTAGAGGGAAAACAGAAAACAGCATACTCTTTCATGGTTAAATAAAACACATGTTGCTCAGATTTCAGATTACTTCAGTCTATTTTCATCATAAGTTGTCAGTACAGGCATCTTTGATTTGGCTGCTGATTGATTTGATACTAACAGAGCTGTCGAATTATTGTCACGAGATTAGGATTATAAACTTCAGAGCACAATTCTGAAATGCGTCAAAATGCGCATGAATTAATAATTTATTTCAAAAATCTCTCAAAATACGTCATTTGTCTATTTAAAACCAAATTCACGAGATAAAAATTATTAGCAAATCATATTTGGTTAGGTGGTTAAATTTAAACTTTATAATTTTTTTGTAGCTTTGTGTACTCGTGATGAATTAACATAGCGTCATTAGTCTAAATAAAAATATGCGACCTCAATCAAGTCAAAAAATCACCAACTCAATTGTTGTTCCGACCCATTAAAATGGGGAAGAACTTTGTATTCGGGTGTTTCTGTTTTTTTTTCTTTTTGTTTTCCATGCAAAATCAGGTACCACAAATATTCATCGTAGTGGGTCGAGTTATAAATCATATTGAAACCCTTTCAATGGTGATTCGAATGACAATAAATGTCCAACATTTCTTCACTGTGTTGAGAAAAACCCGTTTTGAAATTTTTCGTCTAATTTCGAGCTAATAAGGTGACTGTATAGGCTTACAATAGCTTATTTAAAGTATACAAGTAAAGGTAGTTTTTTTGTTCAGATCTTTTTATCATAACATGCAGAAAAAACTACACCAATTCGAAAAAAAAGAATTGTATTTTTTAAGACTGTGGTCGGAACATTCTGTGTACTTGCGCAGTAACCGGCTATCCTTGTTTCACTTTGATGTTTGAAGAAACTTTTGTAATCTTGAAAACTTTCTCAATTTTGATCTCAAAGAGTAAGAAAAAATAGCCTCCTTCCATGCATCAAATAATTTTCTAGCGTAACCCAGCAGCATTTACAAAAAGGACTTATTAATGGACTAACATACCAATTATGGTTATATCATTCAATTCAAAAATTCTCAGTCCCTGGTATTTTTAAATGTCACTTCATTTGCGAAGTTTATTCCACCAACGCGCTTCACGTTATCGAGGTACAATAGCATACCATGACAATAAGACGTGACAAATTAATTGATGGTATTAATGTAAAAAACAATGAACACAGAAGCAACAGCAGCTCATTACGAATAAAGCGACCGCCAATTGTGCCAGTGTGGCTCGAATGTATGTGTAAATAGTACCAAGTGCTCTTCATGTTACTTGACAATGTCACTTTTAGTTATTGAACTTCACTCTACCAGAACAACTGTTTGAGTGTACTTGCACCAACAAGACGACACGACAGAAAATGTGATGATTAATAATTCATATATATGAATGAATGCTTTGATTTATTAAAGCAGTGACAACTAGAAAGAAAAATGCGTGCAAGTATTTAAATTGGTTTCTTGAAAATAACTGTACGCTTATATATTTTTTCCCATTCGCCATGTTTTTGGAGAATTTGTGAGAAAGAATTTTGATGAAAAGTGTGCTATACCGATTTAAATGAAAAGTGTGCTATACCGATTTAAGGGAGGGTGAAAGTTAAGTGAGGTTGACTGACCTCTCGTGGAAAAGGATGACGATGATGAACATGAGAACTGCGAAGGTGATGTTGACGAACATCTCTCTACACACACAGCCCACCTCCTCAATAGGGTAGTAGCCATCCACCGGGAACCTAGAGCACAATCTACTTTCAGAAAGGCGGGCGGGAATGAAATTGTTAAGTAGATCCAAAATTTCAATTCCATAACGACAGGTTAAGTTTCTTTCCCTAATAATAGACCGACCATGAATCTTAATTAGAAGCTCGTACAGGCGTCAAATGTGGTATTATGCTAGTTGAACCCTATTGGTCATGATTTCGATTCTTCAAAAAAAAACTAATAAGTTCTCTCAGTGCCGAGAAAAACAGGTCTGAAGTTTTCTAACTCAGATAGAGGCTGACAGAAATTTTATAAAAGGAAGCCCTCCAAATATAGATATTCTAGACGTTAAGCTTTACATTAGCCATTCATTACCTCTTTTTCGTGAAAATTTTTACCTATTTCAAGCGCACTTTCTACAAAAAAAACTAACAAATATTGGATTAAAAAAATGTTGCAATGTTTTCGATTTTTCAAATATTTTAATTTTTTTAATCAGTGAGGTCTAAACATTTTAAACTACTCGTTTACCACAAAAAAGATGAGCAGAGGGGCCTACCTAGCAGTGAGTATGTCCTCGGAGTAGTACCATGAAACTATGGTCAGATCAGCTATAGCCAGTCCCACCAGTCCCGCGCAGAAGGCCTGTCTGGACAGGAACCAGTCGAACAGACCCACGCAGATGATGTACAGATTGCCTGAAAAAGAAACAAAGTAAACATCAAAAATCACATTAAAACATAGACAGCCGGTAACTGTGCCGGCTGAATGTCCCACTTTTTGCCCCATACACATTTCGCCCCTATTCAACCTAGTGGCACATTTCGCCCCTCACACATTTCGCCACTAATAATTTCACACATTTCGTCCTCGCACATTTCGCCCCTAACTTTTAACACAGTTAATTAACTCCGCTTTCTTAATGTACATTTTAGGGGCGAAATGTGCCAGTAATTTATGAGGGGCGAAATATCTGTGGGACGAAATATGCCAGCAAAAATAAATCTGAAAATTTCCAAAAATTTTTAACTTGTTTTTCTTGATATGATACTGGGACTTTATTTGAATTTTTTCAACGTCGCTCGAATTACGGCTGAAAGGGCTTTAATATGACAAATCTCTTGATTCATTCCGATAACTATTGTGGTATAAAAGCTAAAACACACCCGAATACAAAGTTCCTTCCCATTTTTCAATTGGTCGGAAAGTCGGAACTATTAATTGAAAGTTGCATTACTGTTCCGACTTTTGATACGAAAGTAACGGAATATTTGTGCTCGGGGTGGGTTTTTTTCTTCAGACAAATTTCGACTTTTTAACTAGCCATTTTTCACAAAATTTATTATATCATTCGAAAGGTATTGTTGTCCTGAGCTCAAATTTGAAAAAATATTTTACCTGTGATCATTTTTCGTAAAGTTATGGGGGTTTAAAGATTGCCATTTTGGCCAATTTGAGACAATTAACGCGCGATATTTTTCGCGCTATTAACGCGTAAGCGGAGAGTTAATCCGTCTTAGAAATCGTTCCAAATTGGTTAAAAGAAGCTTATTCGCCATAATTGGTTTGTTACAAGGAGCAGAATCTATCCTTTTGTACTTTGTATGGCGTGTGGGGGGATGATTTTCATTTTCATTTTATTTTTTCTTACATTTAATTTTTTAATGTTATTACTGCTCCATAAACCCCAAAGGCAGTCGGAACATTCAGGGCTTCGCCCTGATACGAGCCGTCTTGGTTAAGTTTTCTTTTGCAACGTACAAATAAATTTAAAATTCTTTTTGAGTACTAATGCCACTTTATGCTCTCTTCCGTAAACTAAACACTCAGGTATTCTATTTAAAAAATTGAAACTATCAATTTCTTCACTTTCAAGTCCTTATATTTTGATTCGGCACCTGTGATATTTCAGTTGATGTTTGACGTTTTTTTTTTCATTTCAATTTGGCCTTGCGTTTCTTTTGGCAACAGAACTGAAAAAGTAGCTCAACTAACAAGGAAAGAAGATCAAAATGTTTACTGAGCATGAACAAAAATGTTTTCTTTTTGTTCAAAAAATGCAAAAAAATAGAGCTTGCACGAAATAGTTTCAAGTTTGCATGAAAGAAAGCAAATAATCGGAAACAGATTGAGATCTATATCAATCAAAAGCGAAAAATCCCTTTAAACTTGATGCTCAAACAAAAAACCAACTCATCTATAAACAAAAAATTTAATTCATCCATAACTTTCACCCGTAAACATAAAACAAGACTGCTCGTATCAGGGCGAAGCCCTGAATGTTCCGACTGCCTTTTAAGGTTTATGGAGCAGCAGTAAAAACATTTAAAAAATTAAATGAAATAATATAAAGCGAAAATTTTTTTTTTTGAAATTTTTTATGAAAATCATCACCCCACACGCCATATAAAATACAAAAAGATAGATTTCGTTCCTTGAAACAAATCAATTATGCCTAATAAGCTTCGTTCAACCAATTTGGAACGATTTATAAGACGGATTAAATCTCCGCTTACGCGTTAATAGCACGAATTATATCGCGCGTTAATTGTCCCAAATTTGTCAAAATGGCCAAAATGGCAATCTTAAAACCTTCATAACTTTACAAAAAATGATCACAGGTGAAATATCTTTTCAAATTTAAGCTCAGGACAACAATACCTTTTGAATGATAAAAAAAATTCCGTCAAAAAAGGCTAGTTAAAAAGTCGAAATTTGTCTGAAGAAAAAAACCCACCCCGAGCACAAATATTCCGTTACTTTCGTATCGAAAGTCGGAACAAAAACCATTGCTGTCAATTTAGGAAATTTAAATCGTTGATCAATAAATTTATGACGTAATTTTGTCTTATTTCCTAAGTCCATGGAATAGAAAACTCTATTATTAAAATCAAGGCAACATTTGGCATTGGCAACAAAACTACTAATGTTGAATCATTTCTAGCCTCCTAGCAATTAAAAAAGTACACACTGTGACAGAAGAAAAAACTGAAGGGAAAAGGAAATGAACGTTTATGCTCTCAGTAGGAAAGAAATTGTTTTTTATTCGGAATGAAAATATTAGAGATGGCTGCATAATTCGGCTTACAGCCTTATGCTGCCAGTTTGTCGGTCTCTCGATTAAGACTGAGGCGTCATCTTAAATAAAGTGCGGAAAAAACAAGGAGCCTTAATGCCTGGATATGAAAATACATGTTTAGGATTCGATTTCAATAAATGAGCGAGTTAGATTTTTATTTTGTTTCAATGTCAAAAGTATTTGGTATTAAAATTAGTTTCACGAGAAAAAACTTGAAAAAAAAATGAAAGAAACTTGAATATGCAAAATAGTTTTAAAATGCTAACAGCAGCAACTTTCAGTTATTTTTAGAAGTTAAGTTATCGAAAGAATAGTGGTTCTATAACTTCAGGTGACAATAATTTGCTCTTTTTAAAATGTTTGCCTTTTTACTTGTTAAAAAAACAGATCCGTCGAAAAATTGACCAATATCAAAAATAGTAGGTCAACTAGGTAAAATTTGGTTTTTCCTTCATAGTGCAAACACGATTTTAATTTTTCATATTTTTAATGAATTTGCGACTTAAATAAATCTCACCCCGATTTTATCCCGCCTTCATTTCCACCTGAAGCAACATTTGTGAACAAATAAGAGGGTGCATGACCTGATAAAGGATTTCCTCAAGCTGGTATATACCAATAATTCCCCGCCCAAACAACCCCTCCTAAACGCCCTTTTTCGTCCAATTTAAGTTCCTCTTTTGGGATTAGTTTGCAAGTAACGTGGTAATATTACAATTACTTCTGAATAAATGTTTTCCCAGCTCCAAAAAATACTCTTGTAAGTTAAACATGAAGCAATCACATGCCAACTTTCGGCCATAAACTGCACTTTTATTCAGTTCTGAGACGAGAATTCCAACACTGTTTATATTTCCCGGATAATTTAAGTCTTTTCGTTTCCAGTTAGCTCCTTACATGAAACTCAACAAGGTAAATAACCGGGAAGAAAACTGTAAATGAAAAGAGAAACTTCTCGCTTTTTCGGATTTCACCTGAAGGTGAAGGTGTCTAATAAAGTCAACCACCTACATAAACCCAAAAGGGTGTCATAAAGTATCACATTGGGTGATTTACTACTACCACCAGAACTATTCCATTTTGGGAGACGAAGTTCACCCATGACTAGTAGGAAGTTATTTCAGTTACCAGGGAAGAACGGGGTCCACATTTTCAGTTTAAATATTTACACTGACAACTAAACTGGCGAAATTGAAATATACGCAAGCTGGTACAAAGTAAACGCCATTAGCTCAGAATCAACCTGCTTTACCCAGAATAGCACCTATGTCGCCTAAACAAATTGGGTAATTTTGACCCGTTTATTGACATCAATATGTTCGCTTTTATCTGAAAACGGGTGCTTAATTTTGGAACCTAACTTTAGAGAAAGCTCTGAATGACTAATTTATCAGAAGCACTCTATTTTTCATGGCCACGAAAATTCGCTAAATCTAAGTTCCCAGAAAGCTACCCAGATTTAACCCATAAGAGCATTTTGTTTATTTATCCCCGTATAAACTAAGCATGCAACGCTGTTTGTAAACTATCAACTTTTCACTTGCTGAATAAATCCTCAAAATTCACTGGAATGCGTGAAGATCATAATTGCTCACTCGCCTCATGAACTTTATCACAGATTTACTCGAATCATTTGGGGAGAATCAACATAAGAATACTTTAAATGTTCTTGTTTTCATAGAAATTTCAGGAATGTTGGGAACTGAGTGAATTAAACGGAGTGAACTTATAGCACAGGCAAGGTATGTTTATGTTATTATGAACCCAGTTAGCACCTAAATCAGCTTTCTTTTGGGCTTAGGTTTTCACAGCTATTTCTAAATGCCTCTAGGTTAACGAGGACGGAGGAAGTGATTTAAAAGTGCAGATTAAAGGCCTTATCTGAGAGGATTCCTCGAGGCTTCTATTCAAAATCGCATCCAAGTAGCGAAAACAAAGCCTATGCTAAAGAAAGCAAAACTAGACTTGGTCAGATTTCACTTTCCACTTATTTGACTGCAAACTTTGGTTCAAACTTCCCCCAAACGCGGAAAACACTATTACAGCTGAAGTAGGTTCACACTTTCTATGATTGAATTACGCCATAAAATCAAATTTAAGTTTTAGGAAATCTTTGTGTTTGGTGCTTCTGTTTCTAATTTATGGTACTCCAATCGAAAAGAAATGGCGTCAAAAGATACAGCCAAATGGAAAAAGGACTAAAGAGAGTGATTTTGGATTGACAAAGGGGAGGTAATTAGTTTCTAAACGGCACCTGAAATGCCTGTTAAAAGTCAAACAAAAACTAAGTGTAGATCTGAGGCGTTTGCTAACAGTTTGAAAAAATTATTATTAGTTTTATCAAGTTCTTAAGAGGTCAATGCGAAAAAAAAAACAATTTTAAAGTTTAAATACAGACGCGAAACGGAGCAAAAACCTGTAAAGTCAAATTGCACAAGCCATGACTTCTGGCTGAAACTAAATGGCTGCAATCCAATAAATTATTCAAACACGATTGTTCAAACGTTGGAAAAATGTTATCGAAAAAAAACGAAAAATCAACCAAAAAAAGTTATCAAAATATAAACATTTTAGCATTAGACATAGAGGCGAAGCTGAGCTTCGCAACACTTGCAATACATCTAAATCTATCAACATGAATGAAGATAATTTAGAAAAATGCCCAAACAATAGATTGCAAAATTAGCAAAGCGGTGACAAAGCAGAAACTCTTCAAGGAAATACGAAAAAACAAGAAATGCATCGTCAAGGCAAATAAAATTACAAATTGAAGGAGTAAATCAAACACTAAAAGCAACATTAAAAAATGCGCTCAGCAAAAAAAACGATTCCAAGGTATGGCAACTAAGCTGACAAACCATAAGCAGACGAATAATTGGCCGATAACTTAATTTGAAACAGAACATTTCCCGTTTGAAAAAAACTTTTGCCATAGTATTCGTTACCTCCAGGCTAAGTGGACCGGGAACGCTAAGAAATTTGATCACATGCGACACAACATAGACCGGGAAATAAGGTACCACTAGATATGAGTCAAGAAATCTAGATTAGAAATTGAACAAAGTTAACTACGGGGAAAAAGTCTACTCTCCGATTGCAATACCCTTGCTTATCACAAGGGTAAAAAAACGAACACGAAAACGACGAAACAAATTATGCTTCACTCAAAAAACGAAAAAAGTTCGAGCCTGTTTTTAACTAGCAAAAAACCAAATATTATGATTTTATTCTTTTTAGACATCTAATTGCTGAAGAAGCAGAGAGATAAATGAGTTGTATTACTGAAATTAATTTAATTTAATTTTTCTCAAAACGATAAACTTCTAAAAAAATATTTTGGCAAAAAGTATCTCAGATTTTGATCAACAAGAATTCCCAATTTAAGAATACTCCAGTCTTGGTAAATTCCAAGCCATCAGAAACCGTTTTAACGTTTCAACCAATGCAAGATAAAAACCTATCATAGCAAAATTTCAAAAAAGGTTGTAACTAACATGAAACGAACAAGCTGCTCAGAAGCCCGAGAAGAAACCTTTGCACTAAAAAGCTATGGACGATAACAGCCAGTCGCTCAACAAAAAGCGCGACATTTTTTACCACAAAGGCCAAGTTGCACTTCGCATAAACAATCAAAAATATGATCATTAACGCTTCTGGAAAACACTGAAAAAGTAAAACTCTGAGTCTACAAAGTTTCTGAAGTGACGCACGCCAATTATGAGTCTACATAATTCCAAAGTGACGCAAGCCAATTATGACGCATTAGCAGTACCAGTCAATTTGAAAGAAGAAATTTACCAACTATCATGCCTCAATTTATAGAGCGGACGAATTTTAACTAGTATACAAAAACATCCGGACCTGCCCAGGGTCGAACCCTCTTATTTTGTTGTGGGTCTCCTTCACTACCTCTATGCTACAGATCCATCATACCTTGAAGCTAAAGTGCTATTTGTAATATAATAGTCTGTGTTAATATCCTTAGCATTGGCTGTACTTAATAGCTGTTTATTGCTCTTATGTACATGCTGCAATAAAAGAACACTTTCAAAATGAACACTAATATCTGAGTCTTAGGTTGGAAAAAAAGATAGTTCATACTATCACAAGCTTTGCTTGTGTAATAATGGAAAAATTGTCTAAGACGTTCTTTGAGGTTTTTTCTGTAGTTTCAAAAAATTCTAGTAGAACTTCGATCAATGTCGAACAATGCCAAGTGAAAAAAGTAGAAAAACATTAGATAATTAAACTGACATAAAAAAGCTGGCATCGTAAAAAAAACATTAAACTTGAGTAAAAAAAATTAAAAACCATCAAATTAGTTGAAGAAAACTTAATTAAAACATGTTATTCTACTAATTTGGCTGCAGTAACACCAAAAAAAAATCAATTTTAACGAATTCTCTGTTAGGAAATGTAGCGAGTCTGAGACAAAATTTATTTGTCTACCGAGTATTTATTGTACCGAGTATTTATTTTGATGCATTGTTTACTGGCGATTTTTCAAATTTTCAATTTTATAATTTACAGCATGTAATCAATCACCATGTGATCATAGGTCTTCGTGAAGATGGTAATATTGGAATATAATTTCTGAAAAACGGTCAGTATTCTGGAGGACTTCAAAAGAAATAAAGCACATCTCTTTGATTAGTTCATTTGCTCAATTTTCTCAGAAATAGTTAGTTTACTACGAAAAATAGTAATGAACTTAAATCCGGGGCCTGGTGATGATACAACCATCCAATTTTGAAAGCAAAAAGGTATATAGATATCTGCAGCATGGTTTAGTTTTTTGAGAATTCTATTATTGTAGCTACAACTCAGTCTAAAAAAGTACTCCTTTCCTGTGCTTCCTGTCGAAACTTTAGAAAAAATTTTCGGTTGGAAAACTTAGTTGATGTGCACGTAGGTCAGAATGTTCCGAATGATAGTTTGTATGCAGGCATAAAAAACTTATCACTTTTTTTTGCTAAAATACCGAGATTAATTGTAGCCGAAATGCCAAAAAATCTTGCAGCCAACAACAAGAAATCATCACCAACTTAACGGACCCATTTTTCATATTTGCCTTTTCCCGGGACCCAACTAAATCTGGCACGATCTTCAAAGAATTGGGTTTAAAATGTACATTGCAGCACACCAAATTTGGTGAATTTTTGATGAGTAATTACTAATAACTTTTTTTTTATCTCGAAGGCGGTGTACTACTATGATAGAGTGGTGCCTTGAAAAAAACCAGGTCCCTTGAGAAAAAGACACCTAGACCTCTCAAATCTTTTCATAATTATGATTACGCCTTTCAGAAAATTGTCGCAGTATATTTTCAAACAAATTTCATGTTTTTTCCTCTTAAAACCTCCTCATCACCATTATAAGGTTTACAATTAAAAAAAAACGCCAATAGTGGGTTTTGATGACAAACAAGTCAACAAAATTATATGGTTGTTAAACCGTAAAATAAAGTAAAGCGAGCAAATTTCAATATATAAACAATAGTGATTACAATTTTCAACCTGAAAAGTTTTTTTGGCTGCACATATTTAGCAAGATTTTTGAAATGAATAATTGAAACACAAATTAGTTTTCAAAATTAAAACATGCGAAATGCATGCGGGACCTGTCTATGATAGTTACTTTTTCGAGGGACCACTCTATCATAGTAGTACCGAAGGCGGCAAAAACTTGTCCACAAACCATTGCAAACTATGAATTGAGGAAAGGTAATAACTCGAAACATAGTGTTTTTAGAATATTTTCAGAAAAAAATAAAGCTCAAATTTCAGGCGTCTTGCGAAACATTGGAACAGTAAGAACATTCAGGGATTTTGCAACAAATTTTAGTGTTTTTACACATTCGCTTTTCCAGAGACCTAAGGTTATCCCATTGTACCAATATAGGAGAATGAGCTGCTGGTTTAGAGTAAAACTAACCGAGGTAGGATATGACGACTAAGACGGAGTAGAGCACCAGTTTCACAATGACCATCTCACTGTCCAGGGTGAAGGGCTTAGTGTACCAACAGGAGGTATTCCTCAACTGGGTCAGCTCCCCCGCCAGTCCCTTGCAAATGGGCACACCGTCGAACTCAACCGGACAAGATTGACGTTCTTGTCCTTGCTTCGGGGCCTCGGTCTTCGGTGGTTTCTTAGTCGTCGGTATGTAATTCTTGTTCGGAATGATTAGGTACGAAGTTCCATTGTCTATTTTTTGGATCAGAAATTCGTCGTTAGTGTTAATTACATTGTCGTCTAGGAACGGTAGGTTCTTGGTGTCTATATCCTCCGGAATTGCAGCCGCGAAATTAAGAGATATGTAGCAAAGAACGGGAATCAGTCGAAAGACTAATAATGAAATCATCTTTGCCAAAAATAAAAGGAATACGTTAAAATAACGCTTTTTTAAGTAATTTAACAGTATGTTCTCCCAAGTTTAACCCGGTTATAATAATATTTTAAAGGCTGGTAAAATAAATCAACAAATTTCGTATTTGAAAAAAGGTAATGGAATATTGTGAGCGCAATTTTTTCAAAATCAATAGCAACGTAACTTAGTATAACAAAATTATGATGCATCCGTCTCATTCAATCACGAGGTTTACCTATTGCAATGGTTGTGCATAAAATGTTTTTTTAAAAAGATTTTACTGCAGAAAACGTAAAATTACGCGCTTACTTCAACGTTCAATAAAATCCGTCCGCTGAAAAATCATTCAAATGAAACAGCTGAGAGAATAAATAAATGATACACAGCAAAAAATATATTATTTTGAATAGTTTTATTCAATTCAGTCTTTTTCTTTTGTATGAACTAAAATTTAGAATTCTGGCGATTCGGAGTTCAAACAGATAAATTCAATTCATTTTCTTCGTACATGTTAAAAGACGTTTCACGGCGGCGCATTTTCTTTTTATCTGCTGACTTAGTTACGTAATTGTTGAGTAATCGGCCAATGGTATTACGTAAAGATTTTCTGTAGTAGTCTCAAATGAGAAAAGCTTTTAACTGATTGGATGAAAAATAGAATAAGGGTTTACATATTTTACGGTGGCCAGTCAATAAGCAGAATAGTATAAGAGCAGAATAGGTCCAAAAGCAAAAAAAAAACAAAAAAGATCAATTTTTACAAGCTAATCGGTAAATTAAGTATAAGGATTGTCAATTTTACCAAAAAAAAAACGAACGTTTATTGCACAGTTTGAGTAGCTTAATCAAGATTTAAAAAAACCTTAATGAAAGTATTCAATTTATGGATAACTTATTCATTTTCTTGGTATTTTCGACGATGCTAACAATTGTTTCATTAATTAACATCCTCCCCCTCCTCCCCTGCAAACACGTTTAGGGGGGGGGGGTGATGATATTTTGGTTCTGAGTTCACATTTGGAGGATGTTAACTTGATCCCACTCATAACACTAGTTTGCAAAGTACAACAGTGCCGAAACTGAAAATAGTTTCAACACTTCCGAAAGTTGATGATATCTGGAAGGGGGCGTTCAACAGAGTTATGAATTCTGTTTGCGAAATGATCGCAATTTGCTTAAATACTGTTTGTTTTGTGTGATAACCAATGAAACTTATAGTAACTTAAGCTGTAAGACTGAGAATTTCAATTGTTAGCGTCCGACATTTGATTTTTGAGATCGATTGGTTTCAGCTCAGATCTACTGGCTTAGTTCCATACGTGTGTATGGCGAAGTGAATAAAAACAATGTTTTGTTTTATATTGCCACTAATGGCCTTATCAAAAAATAGATAACAATATACGAAAAAAGTACATAGCATCAAACATCAAGGTTGCTGTAACTGCAGTATCAATGACTTTGGTTATATATGTATAACCTCAAGGTTACTGCAACTGCAGTACTACATTCCCCTGAGGTCAAAGGAATATTTATCATATTAATGTATGTAAAGTTTTAAAAATAGTATAGGATTTTTGGCACTCAGTTTTGTAGCGCTTTTTTATTGAATTGAATTTTCGTTTCCTTATCATTCCATGGTCAACGGTATTTTTCACGCTGCATCCCAAGTCCTGAATATATCGAGTGCTGTATATATGAACTTGGGCCGAAATAAATGCCTTACTTCAAGCTCATATCGCGTCTCCGCCGAATGAGGATGTTAACCTGATTCGGGGAAGGATGTTAACTTGATTCGGGTGGGGGGGGGATGTTAAGTAGACTAAAATAACGTTTTTTCGACCACAATCAGAATGCAGCAAAATTAGAATTCTCAATAGAAAGCTCAGCGCTAGTCCACTGCTTTTAATAATAGGGGTGGCAATTCTTAAGTAAATACCTATGGGGGCAATTGTCAGGTAGATCCTTAGTATTTGATCAAACATTTGTCAGATGCAACCTCACGGGGGGAGCCCAACAGTGTCGAAGTACAACAGTGCCGAAACTGAAATTGGTTTCAACACTTCCGAAAATTGATGATATCTGGAAGGAGGCGTTCAACAGATTTTTGAATTCTGTTTGCGAAATGATCGCAATTTGCTTAAATACTGTTTTTTTTTGTGTGATAACCAATGAAACTTATAGTAACTTAAGCTGTAAGACTGAGAATTTCAATTGTTAGCTTCCGACATTTGACTTTTAAGATCGATTGGTTTCAGCTCAGATCTACTGGCTTAGTTGCATACATGTGTATAGCGAAGTGAAAAAAAACAATGTTTTGTTTTATATTGCCACTAATGGCCTTATCAAAAAATAGATAACAATATACGAAAAAAGTACATAGCATCAAACATCAAGGTTGCTGCAACTGCAGTATCAATAACTTTGGTTATATATGTATAACCTCAAGGTTACTGCAACTGTAGTACTACATTCCCCAGAGGTCAAAGGAATATTTATCATATTAATGTATGTAAAATTTTAGAAATAGTATAGGATTTTTGGCACTCAGTTTTGTAGCGCTTTTTTATTGAATTGAATTTTCGTTTCCTTATCATTCCATGATCAACGGTATTTTTCACGCTGCATCCCAAGTCCTGGTTATATCGAGTGCTGCATATATGAACTTGGGCAGAAATAAACGCCTTACTTCAAGCTCATATCCCGTCTCCGCCAAATGAGGATGTTAACTTGATTCGGGGAAGGATGTTAACTTGATTCGGGTGGGGGGGGGGAATGTTAAGTAGATTAAGATAACGTATTTTCGACCACAATCAGAATGCAGCAAAATTAGAATTCTCAATAGAAAGCTCAGCGCTAGTTCACTGCTTTTATTAATAGGGGTGGCAATTCTTAAGTAAATACCTAATGGGGCAATTGTCAGGTAGATCCTTAGTATTTGATCAAACATTTGTCAGATGCAACCTCACGGGGGCGCCCAACAGTGTCGAAGTACAACAGTGCCGAAACTGAAAATAGTTTCAACACTTCCGAAAATTGATGATATCTGGAAGGGGGCGTTCAACAGAGTTTTGAATTCTGTTTGCAAAATGATCGCAATTTGCCTAAATACTGTTTTTTTTTGTGTGATAACCAATGAAACTTGTAGTAACTTAAGCTGTAAGACTGAGAATTTCAATTGTTAGCTTCCGACATTTGATTTTTGAGATCGATTGGTTTCAGCTCAGATCTACGTATTTTCGACCACAATCAGAATGCAGCAAAATTAGAATTCTCAAAAGAAAGCTCAGCGCTAGTTCACTGCTTTTATTAATAGGGGAGGCAATTCTTAAGTAAATACCTAAGGGGGCAATTGTCAGGTAGATCCTTAGTATTTGATCAAACATTTGTCAGATGCAACCTCACGGGGGGCGCCCAACAGTGTCGAAGTACAACAGTGCCGAAACTGAAAATAGTTTCAACACTTCCGAAAGCTGATGATATCTGGAAGGGGGCGTTCAACAGAGTTTTGAATTCTGTTTGTAAATTGATCGCAATTTGCTTAAATACTGTTTTTTTTTAGTGTGTGATAATCAATGAAACTTATAGTAACTTAAGCTGTAAGACTGAGAATTTCAATTGTTAGCTTCCGACATTTGATTTTTGAGATCGATTGGTTTGAGCTCAGATCTACGTGTGTATGGCGAAGTGAATAAAAACATTGTTTTGTTTTATATTGCCACTAATGGCCTTATCAAAAAATAGATAACAATATACGAAAAAAGTACATAGCATCAAACATCAAGGTTGGTGCAACTGCAGTATCAATGACGTTGGTTATATATGTATAACCTCAAGGTTACTGCAACTGCAGTACTACATTCCCCTGAGGTCAAAGGAATATTTATCATATTAATGTATGTAAAGTTTTAAAAATAGTATAGGATTTTTGGCACTCAGTTTTGTAGCGCTTTTTTATTGAATTGAATTTTCGTTTCCTTATCATTCCATGGTCAACGGTATTTTTCACGTTGCATCCCAAGTCCTGAATATATCGAGTGCTGTATATATGAACTTGGGCCGAAATAAATGCCTTACTTCAAGCTCATATCGCGTCTCCGCCGAATGAGGATGTTAACCTGATTCGGGGAAGGATGTTAACTTGATTCGGGTGGGGGGGGGGGATGTTAAGTAGATTAAAATAACGTTTTTTCGACCACAATCAGAATGCAGCTAAATTAGAATTCTCAATAGAAAGCTCAGCGCTAGTCCACTGCTTTTAATAATAGGGGTGGCAATTCTTAAGTAAATACCGGGCAATTGTCAGGTAGATCCTTAGTATTTGATCAAACATTTGTCAGATGCAACCTCACGGGGGGCGCCCAACAGTGTCGAAGTACAACAGTGAGGAAACTGAAAATAGTTTCAACACTTCCGAAAGTTGATGATATCTGGAAGGGGGCGTTCAACAGAGTTATGAATTCTGTTTGCGAAATGATCGCAATTTGCTTAAATACTGTTTGTTTTGTGTGATAACCAATGAAACTTATAGTAACTTAAGCTGTAAGACTGAGAATTTCAATTGTTAGCGTCCGACATTTGATTTTTGAGATCGATTGGTTTCAGCTCAGATCTACTGGCTTAGTTCCATACGTGTGTATGGCGAAGTGAATAAAAACAATGTTTTGTTTTATATTGCCACTAATGGCCTTATCAAAAAATAGATAACAATATACGAAAAAAGTACATAGCATCAAACATCAAGGTTGGTGCAACTGCAGTATCAATGACTTTGGTTATATATGTATAACCTCAAGGTTACTGCAACTGCAGTACTACATTCCCCTGAGGTCAAAGGAATATTTATCATATTAATGTATGTAAAGTTTTAAAAATAGTATAGGATTTTTGGCACTCAGTTTTGTAGCGCTTTTTTATTGAATTGAATTTTCGTTTCCTTATCATTCCATGGTCAACGGTATTTTTCACGCTGCATCCCAAGTCCTGAATATATCGAGTGCTGTATATATGAACTTGGGCCGAAATAAATGCCTTACTTCAAGCTCATATCGCGTCTCCGCCGAATGAGGATGTTAACCTGATTCGGGGAAGGATGTTAACTTGATTCGGGTGGGGGGGGGGATGTTAAGTAGACTAAAATAACGTTTTTTCGACCACAATCAGAATGCAGCTAAATTAGAATTCTCAATAGAAAGCTCAGCGCTAGTCCACTGCTTTTAATAATAGGGGTGGCAATTCTTAAGTAAATACCTATGGGGGCAATTGTCAGGTAGATCCTTAGTATTTGATCAAACATTTGTCAGATGCAACCTCGCGGGGGGCGCCCAACAGTGTCGAAGTACAACAGTGAGGAAACTGAAAATAGTTTCAACACTTCCGAAAGTTGATGATATCTGGAAGGGGGCGTTCAACAGAGTTTTGAATTCTGTTTGCGAAATGATCGCAGTTTGCTTAAATACTGTTTTTTTTGTGTGATAACCAATGAAACATATAGTAACTTAAGCTGTAAGACTGAGAATTTCAATTGTTAGCGTCCGACATTTGATTTTTGAGATCGATTGGTTTCAGCTCAGATCTACGTATT